CTGGGAGACGGAGGTTGCAGTGAGCCCAGATTGAGCCACTGCACTTCAGCCTGGGCAACAAGAATGAAACTCAGTCTCAAAAAAAAAAAAAAAAAACAAACAAAAAACTTCCCATTTCATAGAAGGGGAAACCAAGACTCAGGGAAACCTATTATGTACCAAGATGCTATAGGTAGGAGGCGGAGGAGCAAGGGCCCAGCCTGTATCAGACACCCCCCGCCGCCCTCCTGACAGCTCTGGGCCTGTCACTTCTAGACACTGGAAGAGGGCTAGCAGCAACAGTGAAGGACTTCTTTTATGTTTCCCTCCTTCCCACGACGGTAAGTGTGGGTCTACTTTGATCCTAGTTGAATTTCAGCTTTCAGCCTGGAGTTTCTGATTCATCTTTGGCAGAGGAGCATGGTGGGAATCTGCTAATGGCCGTTAGGGTCGCTCCTTCCAGGTCCCCCCAGAAACCCCCTTCCCCAAGAACAGGCAGGGTTGGTGGGGCTTGAGTGTGCAGACGGGACTTGGCGGGGTTCTGTGGGTTGGTAATAAATGAACAGGAAAGGAGATTCCATTACGCAGGAATGTCTGGGGAGGGGGTGGGGAAGGAGCCGGCTCCTCTCCCAGCACCAGCCAGCCATGCGGTCTTGATTGATGTGCCTTGCACCGCGGCAGCGGCGGGCCTGCTGGAAAGAGGCCCCTTCACTCACCCCTCCTGGAGCTAGGCCAGCAGCCAGATGTTCCCGGCTTTTGGGGAGCTGGGGTGGGGGCAGGGGAGGCCAGCCGTGGGCCAGAGGGCAGCTGCCCAGACGGCGAGCCTCTCTCCCTCCTTCTTAGCAGCTGGGCTCAGGTGGCGGTGACTGTACTGCTGACCTTTGGCCAGTGGCTCTGTCTCCCGAGCTTTGGCTCCGTTCAGAATTGGGGGTGGGGTTCTCACCCACCCTGTCCTGCTGGCTGAGGCACACAGCTGCCCTGGAAAGGGCTTTCAGCCCCCAAAAGGAAAACGTCCCACCTGCCCAAGGTTCTTGTGTTACCCTGGCCAGAGACACAGGGAGAGGTGTGACCGGCGCCTGAACCATCCATGGAGGAAAATCCAGGTGAGGTCCCTGGATTGTGGTTTGGGGAGAGGGTCTGAAAGCAGATTCTGGACTTCTCAGAGAAGGTCCCTCCAGCAGGTGCTCACAGGAACCCGAGGCACACTTTCGCCTAGGCTCCTCTCAACTGCTGTGATTGCAGCAGAGAGAGGCCGGGCACCACCTCCAACCCTTTCAGGGGTTTTTATTATTGTTGTCATTTTTTTTTTTTAGAGACAGGGTCTCAAACTCCTGGCCTCAAGGAATCCTCCCGACTCAACCTCCCAAAGTGCTGGGATTACAGGTATGAGCCATGGCCCCAGATTCACCATGTAAAATGACTAATTGCTAATATGTTGGTGTCATTTCTTCTGGGTTTGTGTGTGTGTGTGTGTGTGTGTGTGTGTGTATATATATATATATATTTTTTTTTTTTTTTGAGACGGAGTTTCGCTCTTGTTACCCAGGCTGGAGTGCAATGGCGCAATCTCGGCTCACCGCAACCTCCGCCCGGGTTCAGGCAATTCTCCTGCCTCAGCCTCCTGAGTAGCTGGGATTACAGGCACGCACCACCATGCCCAGCTGATTTTTTGTATTTTTAGTAGAGACGGGGTTTCACCATGTTGACCAGGTTGGTCTCGATCTCTTGACCTCATGATCCACCCGCCTCGGCCTCCCAAAGTGCTGGGATTGGTTTTTTTGTGTTTATTTTTTTTTTTTTTTGAGATGGAGTCTCGCTCTGTTGCCCAGGCTGGAGTGCAGTGGCACGATCTTGGCTCACTGCAACCTCCGCCTCCTAGATTCAAGCGATTCTCCTGCCTCAGATTCCCGAATAGCTGCGACTACAGGTGCCTGCCACCACAGCTTGCTAACTCTTGTATTTTTAGTAGATACGGAGTTTCACCATATTGGTCAGGCTGGTCTCAAACTCCTGACCTCAGGTTATCCACCCGCCTGGGCCTCCCAAAGGGCTGGGATTGTAGGTGTGAGCCACTGCGCCCGGCCCGTTTCTCCTGTGATTTATATCCTGTGTCTATGCAGTATTTATGTACGTTCACTTTTCAGAAAAGTGGCCTTATGAAACCCATCCAGCTCTGTGACGTTCCTTCTTCTACTGAACCCCAGTGGTGCACACCTGGCCATATTAAGAGATCCAGATCCACACTGACGTTTTTAGGGCCCTGCTATCGTATAGCTGCCTGATATTGTTGGGCTTTTAGGGGATTTTCAATATTTCCCTTGTATGGACAATGCAACATTGAATCTCTTTGTACCTGCACCTTTGTGCACATTTCTTTGGGATAAATGGCAAGAAGTAAAACCTCTGAAAGGGTAAGTCTATGAACCAACTGAGCTTGCACATGCAGGCCCTCATTCTTCCCCTCGGCTTATGTCCTTCCTCAGAGCTGCTCATGATGTCCTCGCTGCCCTGACCCCACCTTGGAAGGTGGTTAGTGGTGCTGCAAGGCCCTTCACCTGTGGCTGGGGTGGCACTCTGGCCAGACAGGGTTGGCCGGTGAGCCCAGCAACGTCTTGCTCCATTGTTCTCTCTCTAGAGGACATCGCGGGGTGGGGAAGGCCTGAGGACCTTGCCTGGGTCCTGTCTGGTCCACACTTTACCCATTGGGAGCGATGGGGCGGCCAGTACCACAGTGGCCTTCCGTTTGTAGTCTGTGAATGATAGCACGTCCTTTACAGTCTGCCCACGGCAAAGACTTCTGCGACTCACATGGGGACTGTGAGAGGCACAAGGGCAGGATGTTCATGTCATGGGCACGGCTCCAGGCAGCCCGGCTTCCCACCAACAGATGCGAGGAAACCCTGGCCAGGGTGAGAGCAGCTCAGCCCCGCAGTGAGCGGCTAAGGAAGACTCGGCTGCTTCTCTTTGAGGGCAGGGATATGTGACAAAGAAGCATGAGCCGTGACTGCTCAGGGAAGGCCGGAGGAGCAGAACGGACTTGGAGATGACCTCTCAAGCCTTCCCAGAGCTCAAGAACCCCAACTGCATGGAACTGAAATCTTTCTTGACATTCTCATGCGGACGCTCATTTACCTTTGCCCGTAGTTAAAGTCAACTGCTGCCAGCAGTATTCTCTCTCCTACACACACACACACACACACACACACACACACACACTATAACTAAAGACTGACCTTCATTACCTCACACATGCAGATCACACTCAGACACACAATAATAATAATGTAGTAATAACTCCTTTTTTTTTTTTTGAGACGGAAGTTTACCCTTGTTGCCCAGGCTGGAGTGCAATGGCACAATCTTGGCTCACTGCAACCTCCGCCTTCCAGGTCCAAGTGATTCTCTTACCTCAGCCTTCCAAGTAGCTGAGATTACAGGCATGCACCACCACGCCCAGCTAATTTTTAAAATATTTTTAGTAGAGATGGCTTTTCTCCATGTTGGTCAGGATGGTCTTGAACTCCTGACCTCAGGTGATCCACCCGCCTCGGACTCCCAAAGTGATGGGATTACAGGTGTGAGCCACCAGGCCTGGCCTATGGTGTAGTAATTATTCTCATAACACCTATTGAGCCTTTACGACGTGCCAGGCCCTGTCCCATTCTCCTATTGTTAGCTTCATTGCAAGGCTGCGGGAAAGTCACTTGCCTGAGATCGCAGAGATACTGAGCAGAGGAGCCCAGCCCAGGGCACACACTGTCCTCCCACCACTCCCCCCCCAGCTCCCTGCATGCTGCCTTCCTGCCCAGGCTGCGGTAGCCGAGTGCTTACCACATGAACCCCGCATGCCTCACCCAGCCCTTGGTACACAGCGGAACAGTCCTGGCTTGTTCAGATTCAGGCAGCTGGAGACACAGTAAGTATAATAAACACAGGCTGTGAACCGCCTTCTTGGCTAGTTGTAGAGACACAGAGTTTTCCCCAGACCTGTGCTTCTGGACTGGATTGGGGGCGGCCTCTGGTCCCTGTCCCTGAATCCTTATTCTTCCCCTCCCTTTCCCTGTCTGCCTCTCCCCACTCTCTCCTCCTTTGCCACTTGAGGACCTGTCTACTGCGTGCCTGGCACTGAGGTGGCCACGGAGGCCGTGGTGGGGTGGGTAGCCCAGGTTCCAACTCTTTGGGAAACTGAGAGCTCATCCCATCAGGTGAGGCTTAGAAGGAGAGGGCTTGCTCAGATCACATGAGGAGGGAGCCCAGATCCAGGCCTCATAGCTGAGGCTCCCTGTGCCCAGGCCAGGGCTTTTATTTGGGGAGACAGCGCAGGCCACCGGGAGCACTCGTGATCCAAATACATTGCTCACACATGGAATCCTAAGGGAGTTCAGAGAGGCTTTAAAGTCGGCTGTGTCTCCTATGTGCTGGGCGCTTGTGTACACCAGGCCCATTTATATACATTCTCTTATTTAGTCTTCCTGATAACAAGTAGATACTATGATTATCATCTTTCCCCCATTCTACAGACAAGGAAACCAAGGCTCATAGCCGTTAAGACTCAAACCTAGCTTTGTTTTCTCTAAAACCTCAGCTCTCCCAGCAGGCTGCCGTGCCTTGGGTGGGGAAGGTACTGGGGCATGAAATAGATAAAGGCTTTGGCAAGGAGCTGGGCTTTCAACAGGCCTTGAAAAGGATGGGAGGAAAGAGGGGGGCATCCTGGGAACTGGGCACTGTTTGAGCCAAGGTATGGAAGCCAAACATACCCAGTGAGCCTTGGTACCAGCATGGTGGCAGCACGATCAGAGGGCAGGCTTTTGGCTGAGGGAGCCATTTGAGTTCTTGGCTTCCTACAGCTTCTACCTTGGAGGAAGGGCTGACAGGTGAGCCTGGCCCAGGTACCCAAGTCTGAGGAGCTCTTAGATGCTCTGCCAAGTTGGCCCCAGAGGAGCCTGGGAGGCCCTGAGCTGGGCAAAGTTCTCCGTGGCGTCATAAACCAGGCCCCATGGAAGGAGGAGCCAAGAGGCCCCTAGTGGCTGTGCCACCCCCAGCGAAGGACGCTGCCAGGGGCCGGCACAGGTACCAGGCTCTGAAGGTCCTCAGGATGCATTGGCATCATGTTTTCTGCTGTCTGGGTCAGCCATAGGCCTGCATGCAGGACTGGCAGAGGTGAGTGCCAGGCAGAGGCTCCCTTCTGCCTTGGTAGATCTGGTGGGGCTGGAAAATCGGGAAGGGAGAAGGGAAAGCCCATGCTTGACAGTTGTCTCTCTAGGGTGAGGCAGCTGAGCCCACGACTGTGATAAGCTCTGAAACCACAAATCACAGAGGTCAGAATCAATTACGCTGCAGTGGAACTTCCTAGAGCAGAGTCCATGGGCTCACTGACCACCTCAGTCTCCCTCTCCTTGTTAAACGCCTCCTCATCTTTTGGGTCTCAGCTCCAGGTACTCTTCCTCAGGGAAACTCACCCTGATACCTAACCCCTAACCCCCACCCCAAGCTGGAGATATGGTCAAACTCCAGAACAGCACTTCTAAAACTGAGGTTTTTCCTGTCATAGCTGTTATTATATATTCATTTGTGGAATTATTTGATTGATATTGTGCACCTCCTAACTGTAGGTTCTGAAAGAATAGTCGTTGTGTCTATCATGTTCACCAGCCTATCCTCAGGCCCTGGAATATAGTAAAAACCTGAGAAATATTAGTTGAACAAATGGATGCTTGAGTGGGTGTGGATGCGTAGATGTACACATGGATGCATGGATGGATATGTGGATGCGTGGATGGATATGTGGATGCATGGATGGATATGTGGTTACATGGATGGATATGTGGATGCATGGATGGATATGTGGTTACATGGATGGATATGTGGATGCATGGATATATATGTGGTTACATGGAAGGATATGTGGATGCATGGATGTGTATGTGGTTACATGGATGGATATGTGGATGCATGGATGTGTATGTGGTTACATGGATGGATATGTGGATGCATGGATGTGTATGTGGTTACATGGATGGATATGTGGATGCATGGATGTGTATGTGGTTACATGGATGGATATGTGGATGCATGGGTGTGTATGTGGTTACATGGATGGATATGTGGATGCATGGATAAATATATAGATACAGGGATGAATATATGGGTGCATGGATGGATATATGAATGCATGGATGGATATGTGGATTCATGGATGTATATATGGATATATGGATGGAATATATGGATACAAGGATGTATATATGGATGTGTGGATGAATATGTGGATGTATGGATGGATTTATGGGTTCATGGGTGGATATATAGATGGATATGTGGATAGATGGATGAATGGATGGATGGATGGATATGTATATACATGGATGGATATGGGATGCCTGGATGGATATGCAGATTCGTGGATGGCTATGTGGATGCATGGATGTGTCTGTGAATGCTGCATGTAGGTATATGTGGATACATGGGTGAATATGCGGATGTATGGATAGATATGAGGATTCATGGATGGATAGGTGGATACATGGAAGGATGGATTAGTGGCAGGACAAATGAGTGGAGGAATGTATAGAAGAATGGATGCAGGGCCAGTAGGTGGATAAACAGGTAGATGGATACATGGATGGGTGGATGGAAGGATGGCTGGGTGGATGTCTGGGTAGAACTTTAGAATGTTAGACTGTTGGAAAGTTAATAATCATGAAACTCTAAAATACTAAAGACAGGTACTTTTTATTTATTATATTGTTAAAATAAAACATAGCTTAGCATTGTTATTAGAAAGGACAATTACAGAGCTCAGTTCCCTCTTATAAGAGATGAGCAGACAGCCTCTGAGAAGTGAAATCGATGTGTCCAAGGTCACACAGCAAATAAGGTGTCCACGAATCGGTTGTCTTACCACTGTGTGAAACAGCCTCTGGGAAAGGGTCAGAAGCCTTCGTTCCAGTCCTGTCTCTTTTGAGGTTTCTGTGTGACTTGGGACAAATTATTGGGACTTCATTTTCTCTCTAGAAGAAAAGATGGGGTCTTTTCCGGGGGCAAAATCTAGCTTTTCCCTTGCATTTTTGGGAAGGCCAACCTTGCTGAGATGTGTCCGATATCCCTCCCCATACCTTTCTCAAAGCCCAGTGGAGTTGTCAGGGTGGACGCCGGGCTCCTGGGGGTAAAGTGAAGTGATTTTACAGTGAGTGTGCAGTATGAATTTTTTTTAGCATGAAAAAAGTGTGCAAACATGGTTTCATATTCCGTAAAGGATGAAGTCCAAAGGCCTCAGCCTGACTCTATGGCCCTGGGAGCTTCTGGGACCTCCTATCCAGGTCTGGGTTGGGAGGCCCAGCCTCCAACTCTCTCTTGCGCCAGCCTGGCCACCAGCCGTAGCTCCACGCATGACTTTCCACTCTCTGGTGTGCCCCAGGGGTCGGGGGAAGCTGTGTGTTGTAAAAGGACCCTTAGTGAGTTTCTGGCACCACATAACCTGCCTGGAATTTTCTCACTACCCTGGACTTCTGCAACCCCAGCCTCTGGAGCTGGGGGTGTGTCTGCCAGGGAGAACTTCCCCTTCCCCAGAATGAGCCCCAGGCTGCCTGTCCCCACCCAGAGGAAAAGGGGCTCCACATGTTGCAAAGGGAAGGACCTAGGTCTTAAGCATCTTAAAGTCCCAGGATTGTGGGAGTTAGAGAGAAGGGGATCTCAGTCTGTCTGGGAGAGGTGGGGAGAAAAATCACACCTTACAGCAGAGGTTAAGGGTGGGGTGCAGGAATTGGGGGGGGCGGGGTGTGGAGAGAGGAGGAGGCTGGGGCGGAGCTCTCAGGGGCCATAAAGTCAGGCTAATGAGGCCTTTGGACTTTATCCTCTGCGGAACATGAAACCACTTTTTAAAAAAGGCGTTCACACTTTTTGACATTAAAAATTCATACTGCACGCTCACTTAATTTTATTTTATTTTTTTGAGATAGAGTCTTGCTCCGTCATCCAGGCTGAAGTACAGTGGCACAATTTCGGCTCACAGCAACCTCCACCTCCCGGGTTCAGGCGAGTCTCCTGCCTCAGCCTCTGAGTAGTGGGGATTATAGGCGTGTGCCACCATGACCGGCTAATTTTTGTATTTTTGTATTTTAAGTGAGTATGCAGTATGAATTTTTAATGTCAAAAAGTGTGAACGCCTTTTTTAAAAAGTGGTTTCATGTTCCGCAGAGGATAAAGTCCAAAGGCCTCATTAGGGTTTCATCATGTTGGTCAGGCTGGTCTCGAACTCCCTACATTGTGATCCGTCTGCCTCGGCCTCACAAAGTACTGGGATTACACTTGTGTGCCACCGCTCCTGGCCGCAAACTTACTTATTTAACAACAACAACAACAACAACAAAGCAGCAAAGATACAACTGAACGTTTAGTAAGAAATAAATTTTCCTTCCTCCTGTCCCAATTCCTTCTGGAGAAGCAATCCTTGTTAACAGGTCTTGTATATCTTTGGAGAGATTGAGGCTTTATTGATTCAGTGTATTCCATTGCTTCCTTTTTGTAAGTGGTAATGTACTATACACACCATTCTCTTTTCCAGTATATGCTATATATGTATATATATAGATGGAGTCTCCCTCTGTCACCCAAGCTAGAGTGCAGTAGTACATTCTCGGCTCACTGCAACCTCCACCTCCATGGTTCAAGTGATTCTCTTGCCTCAGCCTCTGAGTAACTGGGACTACAGGCATGTACCATTGCACCCAGCTAATTTTACTGTATTTTTAGTAAAGATGGGGTTTGGCCATGTTGGTCAGGCTGGCGTTGAACTCCAGACCTCAAATGATCTGTCCACGATGGCCTCCCAAACTGCTGGGATTACAGGTGTGAGCCACTGCAGCCAGCCTTAGAGATAATTCTGAGCAGCACATGTAGGTCTCTGTCACTGGTTTTACTCCCACTTGCTGTCCTGCTGTATGGATGCTCTGCACTTCATCACTCATTCCTACCAAAGGACATTGACTTCGTTTCTAGCAATTTGCTTCCACGAAAGATCCTGCCACGAACATATCCTCACGCATCCACCTTTGAGCATGTGGGCTGGTGCGCAAGTTGGATAACTCCTTAGAAGTGGTATTGCTGGTCAAAGGATACATGCATTTGATTCAGTACACGTCACCACATTGTCCCATAGAAGGTTTTGAGCAGGGGAATGACAGGCCTCCACGATCTGACCAGTTGCTGCTCATGCATTTGGCAGGGGGTAGAAAGAGTAAATAATTGGATTATAAGCCACCCAGTCTCCAGGTCTGAGATGGGCTAAAGTATCTTCAAATGAGCGTTTATTCAGAGTCCCTGTGAGCCCTTTCAAAGCCCTCAGCTCTGTGCACTCTAGTGCTCCCTGGAGCCTGGGAGAAAGGGATTCCAGTAGACAGGGTCCTTTGCTGTGGGGAGAGGTCCCCAGTTCACCAGGACCCACATCCCCCCACCGGGGGGTGGCTGCAAACGACCTAGTGGGGAGAGGACAGGCTGCCGACAGCTGCAAGGAGCGAAGTTCAGCCAAAGCCCGCACAGAGCGCTGCCAAGAGTTTCTTCTTTTCATTTTTCCAAGCTTTGCGCTTTGGGCTGGGGCACAGTGTCATCCTCATGTTTCCTATTATTTTACAAGGCTCCCATCAAAGCACCAGCCGCCCAGGCTCTTTGATGTCTGAGCTGGAGCTTGCCTCTGCCTTGGGGAGAAGCATCTTTGCTGAGGATCAAGAGGAGCGCGAGGCCTGAGATGGCCCATGCCTCTCTCCTACGTGCTCCCCTGGCTCCTCTCCTGGCTGGGACCCCAGGCCCCTGGAGCGGGGCGGAGGGACCATCACAGCCAGCCAGGCTCAGAAGGGGCTGCGGAGGCCCGGGGGGGAGGGGCCAAGGGGCAACTCCAGGCCACACAGCAAACTGGTAGAGCACTTCAGCTCTGGCGGTGATCAGACACTGGGTGAGACGGCAGAGGGGATTCCTAGCAGGGTCAAACCAGGCCTGGCCGGCAGCCTTTGCCTCTGGGTTTCTCAGTTTCCCCACCTTACTTCCTAGAAGTCTTTTGGGGCCGACACCGTGCAGCTTGTATGGTGCTTGTATGGATGTCTGCAGCCCCCCTGCATAGGTTCAAATCCTGGGCTCTGTCCCTTTTAGCAATGTGACCTTGAGCAAGT